GAATCCCGGGTATAGTGCCTCATGGACCTCTGTCTTAGGCTTGGTTGCCTGCAATAGCTGGACACACTCGTCGACCTTGACCGATAGCATCTCTGACGAGCAAAGCAACATGACCACCTCGGAGTTATCAAGCTCCAATAACATCCCAGTGATTTTGCTTGCGAGTTCAGTCTACAACGAACAAGTGGCACATTTGTCAAGTACCAAAGCCCGGTCCCTCTGTTATGGATGGAAAATATGTGTTAAGAAAAAACATATGAGATATTGATCCTAGAAAGAGGATTACCTGATGCCTCTCAACAAGTGGATAGAGCATGTTCCCAAGCAAGTTTTTTTGTTCCGCAGGTGGAGCAGACGCCAAATAGCTGCTGAAAGAATCATTCATTATTGAAACAGGGTCACTTTCATGGATGGCCAAACCGTTGGCCATAACATCATTCGAGAAGTACTTCGGATGGTCGAATCGTTGCAAAAGATCCATCATATAATAAGTTAATATAAATTAAGTTAAGCTGCCTAGTTAAAAAGAAATAAAGAAACAAACAAATATGTCTGACAATAATAAATCATGAATGTAGGCATCACAAAAATGCTATCACATTGGGGAGATATTTTCGGGAAATGCTTCATGTGCAAGCATAGATGACAAAGTAACCATGCAACTGTAACACCCTCGATGTTACACCATAAATCATCTACTAAAACATGTCATGAGCATCATGTTTATGTGTTAATGCATGTGATAAAGTGTGCAGATCAATTTATGTAACTCAAAACGATCAACTAAAATTGTGAAATGAAAGTTGATTCGATAGTCATGTTATATCACTTAACGTTGAAAACCAATTTTTATTACGCAAAAATGCTATAGAACATATATGGGTCACCTTAATAAAGTTTGAAGTACAAACTTTGTAGATGATAGTGAAATACTTGCGATCGAAAAATAATGTTACTAGCTGGTATTTCTAATAGTCTAGAAACAGAAGTTGAAATCAAATTCAGCTAAAAAACTTAGAAATTTTCAAGTCTGCCAACAGTTAGACACTGCTATGTTTAGCAATTTATTGTGAGAGATTGGATTAAGGAGTGGTGTAGTGTGATAGCTCGGTTTGATAGTCTCATGTGCCATCTTTGGCATGGTAAAGATGGTTTAGGATTAGGAGCAACCGTTTGGTCGTGTTGAGCGCTTTAAAATTCGTGTGTCACGATTTTGGGCTGGTTGGCCGCGTTGCCGCGATCACCGCGCTTATGCGCTCGGCGTCACCGCATTGGTCATGCATGTGCATGCGCGCGCTGCCACGTGCTGTCAACCATGGCTATCTCTAGCCCAGCTAGGTCTCGGCTGCCGACTAGCCTGCACGCGTTACGACGGAGCCGCTGCCAGCGCCATCAACTCGCCGTCACGTTCGCACTACCGACCCACCTCGCGTCGCGACACTACCACTGCCGATGCCACTACGACGCTGTGCTGCTGCTGCTTGCCTTTTCCTAGTTTGCACATGGGCTGCCCCACGCCATCGTCCTGCCTTAATGGCTGCCTCCGCACGCACGCACGTGGTTTGGCCGCATTGTCGTGTAGCAGGTGCGTAGACACCGCATTAAGTCCGGTTGACCACGTCCCGCCAAGGCGTGGATGAGCCGAACCCACTGCCGCGCCCCGTCTCTCTCTCCCTCTGTTTTCCGCCACCGTCGGGTAGCATCACGGTGAACCAGAGAGCGAGCACCTCTCATCAATTTCTTGTGCTCGCGTCTCTGCCCTCATGTCTCCTCTCTAGCCGACCCCATCCCGCCTTAAGTCTCATCACACCAAGCTTCAATTTTGGAGCTTTGCCACCGCCATGCCGTTAAGGCCCATCGTCACCCGTGTCATGGCCAGTCTACACCACTTCGCCCCGTGCCAGTTCCTCTGCACCACTAGCTCGCCTTGGCTCTCTCTTCGTCGTGCACACGCTAGTCACAGCTTTAGTGCGGCCTCCTCACCGCTGACGTGGCTGTGCCTTTGTGGTCCACCGTTCACCTCATCGTGCGCATGTGGCTAGCCTCACTCGAGTTGTCTCCGACCGAGCCAGCTTCTCGGTAGGGTCACTGGTGAGTTGTCGTTGCTCACTCGTTACTCCTATCGCCTTGTTGTTACTGCGGCTCACCTGAACGCCGTCGCCATTGCCGCAGGGTGCCCGTTATTATGGAGAGGTCCTTCTATGGCATCTTGGCTTGTGCAACCGCCACCCATCGTCTCGTGTCAAACCCTAGGTGAGCGTCGGTCTCGTAGATAGGTCAGCGTCGGTCCAGTGTGGCCGACATGAGCGCTAGTGCCACTGCTCGGCGCGCCGGCGCGCGCGGGGATGGTCGAGGGCCTTGCCTTATAAAGAGGAGAATATCCGAGGGTTTTGTTGTAAAGTCGCTGACTATAGAAATAGTAACGTGGACTGCGGGTTGTTTTGCTCATAGTCCAGGGGCATTTTCGCTAATGTGCCAGCGCGCGCAAGCTTCCTCACCGTGGGCCGCCTCGCGTGCGTGGACCAGTGTCACGCGCTCTGTGCATGTGTGGGCCGCGTTGGGCCAAAATTAGTTTAGCTTTTTCGTGAAGAATAGAAATAGCTTTTCATTTGTATTTCTGAGCTAAACTTTGGTAATTAATATAAAATCATGTAGGTATCCAAAAATTGTGAAACCAATTTTGTTAAGTTCCTAAAATTGTGCTCTATCTATTAGTGTATTCAGTTCATATATATACTTATTGATACCAGGATCTATTAAATCATTTGAGAGTGCTTAATATTATTAAGTTAATTATTGTAGGAATTTTTGTGGTAAATTGGTGATAGCTTTAGCTTTGAAAAATTTACAGTAGATTTATGGTATTATTATGTTCTCCCTGTAATTTTTGTAGCCTTAGACTAGGCTAAGTACTAGCGTAGTTAGGTGCTCCTTGTTGTAATATAAGTCAAATCGCTAATAAGAGTAAGATTACATTTTCGTTGCTAAGTTAATATCCGTTAGATGAATCCATACCTATTTTTGGTGGAAATGATAAGTAGTTAGTATCTTAACCATTAGAGCTAGCTTAGTGGCTTAGTAGATGTATTCTTATTTTAAGAATTCATGTTGCCTTAATATTAATGTGTTGCATCATCATCGCATGCATGTAGAAAACGAATTGGCGGAGATCGTGACCATCAGAGATCATGAGTTCGAGGAGTACGAGGAGGTGATCCTCATGCAGGAGGGGGTCCTAGAGCCACCACTGACTGACTGAGCTGACACCACGCCTGCCCAAGGCAAGCCCCGGTGCATAACCCTTATTTTGAATAATCACTAAATATATATATGTGATGTGCATTTACGTTATAGGCTTATTGTGGAAACTACATGCATAGATGTACCTACCTATGAGTCCTACTAGCTTAGGTCAAGTAGCTACTATGCTTAGGTTTTTTGGTAGCATGAGTAACCTGTTGTTACTCACAGTAGGTGATTATTATTATCACTCTCATGATAAAATGGTGAAAAGAAATGGAGCCCGGGTAGGGATATGGTACGGGTATTGGTGGGTGTAAGAGGTTGTATCCCACGGCCAATGGGGCATAGCTTGGTTACACTATTTTCCCTATCTATATTGGTTAAGGACCGGCCGTTGCATTGGATTCTAGTCTGGTCACAAACTTATTATCCTGAGCATATACTTGTTTATGGGAGCAGGGAGGGCTCGTTGCTCTCTTGTCGTGGGTTCCAGCTCTTTCTAGACTAACTGATTGGGGGTGGGGATGGTAGAGGTCTAAGCACCACACTGAGTCTGGGACTCAGGTGTAGGGGCTTAGAGTCCAAGTTTGGACGGGGACCTGGACCCCTTGACAGGAGAGTGGTGGGTTGGTTCTGCTTGTGCCTGGGGTACAAGCGGGACATGTGTTTTAGGGTACCCAGCTGGGCTACATTGATTCACGAATTGCTATGTAATATGGTACGACTTGTCTATGATCTAGCACCATAGTAAGAACTAAAAGATGAAAGATGGTGAATTGGATCTGATTGCTTATCACCTGCTTGAAAGTAGCATAGGTGCTTATATAGAATGGTTAGATAATGAACTAATCATGACTGCTAATAAGAAACATACATAAGGATGCACAACTAGTAAGGCTTTTTGTAAAATGGAAACCCAGCAAACCATAAAGCTTATCATATCTTTTGGAGTCGGGAAATTATTCCCACTAGTCAGATAAGTCTTGCAAGTACATTGTGTACTCAGGGTTTGTTACCCCTGTTGCAGGTGTAGCTTGAGGAATGACTGTTGTGTGGAGGATTCTTCTAGTGGGCATAGATGGATCCTTGTATCTCACCGTTAGATGTTTATTTTAATTCTGCTATTCTGCTGTTTAAATTCTGCACTCTAAACTTGGTATTGTAATAATGTATTTCTGAGAACTTTTGTTGTATGAAATGGACTAAGTAATGTAAACTCATTCTCATTATTGGATCCTAGAGGAAAAAACATGGATTGTTTGAGTTCTCCCTTAGGGTGTGCTCGATGGAACCGTCTGATGTAGCTAGCTTTTGGGGTGCTTAGTGTCTGGTGGAAGATGAGCGTCTCCAGAAGCGTGCTATTTCGGGCGGTTCTGCCATAGGAACAAACCGAGCTTCTTTGCAATGTACCATATAATATGTATAAAAATCCAATGTGCATGTCATTAATTGAAGATGAGGAGGTACAGAACAAATACCTGTCGAGACATAGACATGAATTCTTTAGTTGGTTGTGCATGTGTCACATAGTTCATTGCATGAACTGCATGAGGAAGAGGCATCATGTTCCCACCCATCCTTCCCCGATTGCTTCTATAGTGCCTTGGTGAATTTGGCATCTATGATAATACGATGAATAAGAGTTTACATATAGACTAATAAAAAATTTTGGTTAATTAGGCAAGGAAGGTACCATTAGTGAATGTATTTGTTGGAGATTTGGTGCTGAGGGGAACATATTTGGTCTCCATTCATGACTAAGCCCCATGGGTGGATACACAAATCCATGTCTCGGAGGACCTTGAGGGATATGAGTATTTGGATGGGCAAAATAAACTTGTGGATATCCAGTGGGGATCATAGAGTTCGCAGGTCAAACCATTCTCACAAGCTGAGCGAAATGTTGCTGCAACTTGGCTCTTCTCTTTTCTTTGGAAAATAGCAACATACAATGGTTTTCCAAAAAACATAACACCTGCTTAACCAAATTAACGTAAACATGTTACTGATTTTTTATTGAAACAATTGAGTATATTTTTTCCATTTGGGTCTAGAAAAAACATGGGATTACCTCGCATGCTGTTTACGGTGCTCTTTGCCTCCTCAGGGGTACTATAACATACAAATCCAAAGCCTCTACTGATGCCCTTATCATCACGCATGACCTTTACTGATGTGATGTTGCCAAATTCAGCGAAGCGAGCACGAAGAGCATCATCATCAACTTCATCATGGATGTTTTTGATATAGACATTTGATTCCTGACAACAGTATATATATACTTAGTCAATGGAAACATGAATACCAAGCATGTGAATTTATGAGATAGCATTAGATCAGAACATATGAGTGCATCTTACATTGCTCTTAGTTATGATTTCATTTCTCTTTTCCTCGTGTAAGCGCTGCAAATATTGTTTCATTTCCTCCTTTTGAGCCCTCCCCACGTATAAGGCTTTTGATCCTTAAAAAATTAGGACAAGATAAACACATATATATCTATAAGATTTTATTTAATAGACTATAATGTTATTTAATATAAATTATATTATTTTTGGAATGAACATACCAAGTAGCATCCCATGCATGGTCTCTTGTGCTTCAATGGCACTTTCAGGGTTTTGGAAACTGACAAATCCAAACCCCAAAGATGACCCATTAGGTCTCCTCATAATCTTCACACTAACTATAGAACCAAACTGAGAGAACTTCAATTTAACAAGTTCCTCTGTTATGTCATCATCTAGATGCTTCATATATAAGTTTGTAAACTTGTCATCAATATTTGCAGACCGTTCACGTTTCTTAATGAAAGTAGCTACATGCCTGCACAAACTGTCGAGAAAATTATATATGTAAAACATACTATAAATAATGATAATAATTAATGCAAATGACATGAACATACAATTTTCTATCATTGAAAAGGGAGCCATTGAGGTTCCCAATTGCTTCATTTGCTAACTCCTGTGATGCAAATTGAACAAACCCATATCCTCTACTGGTCCCATCCTCATTTTTGGTGACTTTACAAGATAAAACATCTCCAAACTTGGAGAACAATTCTTGAAGGCTCGCATTGTCAACAGAATTACTAAGGTTCTTTGAATTTCATACAACACAACCAATTAGTACTTATGTACAGTATATATAGTTATAATACACATGGAGGAGAGAGGTTCCCAATTGCTTCATCTGCTGACTCCTATGATGCAAATTGAACAAACCCATATCCTCTGCTGGTCCCATCCTCATTTTTGGCGACTTTACAAGATAAAACATCTACAAACTTGGAGAACAATTCTTGAAGGCTCGCATTGTCAACAGAATTACTAAGGTTCTATGAATTTCATACAACACAACCAATTAGTACTTATGTACAGTATATATAGTTATAATACACATGGAGGAGATATGCTTATGTATGGTGAAGATATTGCAACTATACCTTAACAAAAATATTACCAACGCCACTTCTCCTAGCATCTGGATATCGGTTGGACCACATCACCCTTATTGGCTTATCCAAAACCAAGCTATGATTCAACTTATCAAGAGCCATCACAGCTGTCGGTGTTTCGAGTAAACACCAACTAGTAAATTTGTATTTGTTGCGCATTGGGCCCGGATGGTGTACTAAAAGACACAAGGTTTATACTGGTTCGGGCAGAATGTTCCCTACGTCTAGTTTGCTGGTGCTGCTCGTGTTATTAGCACTGAAAGGTTCATAGTAGGGGGTACAAACGGTCGAGAGAGGGACAGGTCCCAAGTCTCTGATGGAAAGGTTGAAAGGACGCTGAGAGCTTGGTTGCTGCTCAACTGTGTGTTATGTGGTGCGTGGTGTGTCGAATTGATTCGTCCTTTTAGTGGGGTGCCCTGCCCTCCCTTTTATAGATCAAGGGGGAGTAGGGATTACAGATGGGAGAAAGAGGAAAACCAGAGGTGGAGAAGGTCCTTCGAAGGTGCCGGGTCTTCCTTTTCCTTTGAGCCTGCCCTACTGACATGGTAGACGGTGCCAGGGATAGCACATTCGCTGATCCTGATAGGGCCATGCTCTGGCTTTGTTCAGCAAGTGGTCACGTCCCATCCCACTCTGGCGGGTGGCGCGGCGCGCAAGGATGTCGAGCCATGACCCTACGGGGAGCAGATGGCGTAGAGGCCCCACGTTTGTTACTGTAGATGACATGAGTTTCCTCCTAGACCGTAGTGGTTGTCGTATGTTTCTGTCAGGATTTGTGTCCAAGGGCAAATGCCGGTGCCCATAACACTGTAGGACAAATGTCGGCGCCCACAACACTGTTTGGGCTCTGACATGCCTAGAAGGGCTTAAAGCGTCCGTCTGGCCATATCCTGATGGTACTTTTCTATAGGTGTGTAGGGTATGGTCCTCGGTATTGTGGTTGACTTGAGTGCCCCGTCTTATCTACATGAGTAGTTATGAAAGAGCAGCACATAGACATCGGGCGAGGTGGAGCCTGCCCTCGGACGTCGAGCAAGGCGGAGCCTATCTCCTATACATCGGGCGAGGCAGAACTAGGCCTTGGATGTTGGGCAAGGCGGAGCCTACCCCTAGACGTCGGGCAAGGCGAAGCTAGCCCTCGGACGTCGGGCGAGGCGGAGCCTGCCCTCAGACGTCGGGCGAGGCGGAGCCAGCGCTCAGTCATCGGGCAAGGCAGAGTCTGCCCCTAGACGTCGGGCGAGGCAGAGTCCAGCCCTCAGGGGTCGGGTGAGGTGGAGCCAGCCCTCAAACGTTGGGCGAGGCAGAGTCTGCCCCCAGACGTCGGGCGAGGCGGAGTCTAGCCCTCGGGGGTCGGGCGAGGCGGAGCCAGCCCTCAGGGGTCGGGCAAGGCGAAGCCAACCTTCGGTCATTTGGGCAAGAAGTGTAGTTGTGTTCTTGTCTATTAGGAAGCATCAACGTTTGATCGTTATTAGCTCCTCCTCTTTGGGTACCCCAGTATTCGGTCCCCGATAGTAGCCCCCGAGCCCCCAGGTGATTCGGATAGAATCGCTTGGGGTGATTTAACTTGCCAGAGGGTGCGCGCGAGCGCACCCGACGGGTGTAGCCCCCCCCCGAGTGATTCAGATAGAATCACCCGGGGTATTTCGATTCGCTAGAGGGTGCGCGTCGGCGCACCCGTCGAGTGTAGCCCCCGAGCCTCGAGTGATTCGGATAGAATCGCCTGGGGGGAAATTTGGACCCTTCACGGGTATGGCTATGAGATTTGGTGGTTTTGTTAGCCGGATAGCTTAAAGGGAACCCTGGTATCCCATTCGTGGGGATTCATCCAGGGTTAGCCCGGTTGAGACTCGATCACGGATCGAGACTCCCTTGAGGCTCGTGTGCCTAAGTTTTGGTCGCTTGTGAGCCCATCCTTCTTTGGGACGGCCGTCGAAACCATTGGGCCAGCCCTCGAACTCTAGGGCCCAGGCGGGCCGGAGAAACGCTTTTTGACCCATATCCCTTCTGTGGGAAGGTGAAACATCCAGCGTGGCTTTAGTGGGAAAGGATAGGGATTAGGGGCGCATATCCCGCATGGTGGTTAATCGTGGCAGGCACGGAGATCTAGGCGGATGGTTGCCTTCCTCACATCCATCACCCCTATAAAACCAAAGGGTTCACCCCTAGGGTTTCGTACATTGCCTCCTTGCCTTTGCATCTACAACCTCCGCTGCCAATCGCCTAAGCCTCCCGCATCCACATCTCAGCCACCATCAAGTTCACATCTATCCACCCCAATCGTTTAATGGAGCCATGGTGCAGATCCGATGTCACCCTCTAGCGCCTGGAGGGCCTCATTCGCCATGGCCTTCTTTGAGCACGAACTACCACCGAGGAGTGGTGGTTGCCCGGCAATGAGGACGCGTCGTCGCCTCCCAAAGGCTACGTTGTGTCCTTTGCTCACTTCCACGAGTAGGGATTCGCCATCCCCGCCCACAAGCTCCTTTGGGGGTTGCTAAATTACTACAATGTGGAGCTGCAGCACCATACTCCCAATGGGATCCAGCACATTGCAGCATTCGTCGCCCTGTGTGAGGGGTTCTTGGGGATTAGGCCCCACTTTGACCTATGGCGGCATTTCTTCGTCATCACCCTCCTGTAGAAGCGGGAGAAGAGGAAGAGCTAAACGTGCCAATGGGATGCACCGGCATCTAGCTCCACAACAACCGGGTCAATGAGTACCCACCGATGTGTCTGTCAACCTCCAACAAGGGGTGGCATTCGCATTGGTTCTACGTCAGGAATGACGCGGCCGCCCCCTTTTCGGAGTTCACCGAGCGCCTCATCGAAGAGGTCCTAGAATCATGGAGGAAGTAGGGGGTTCTAGAGAAAGACAAGAAGAAAATCCAGGACCATCTCACCGCCGTCCGAATCCTGAAGGAGAGGGGCGTGAAGGGGTCAGCGATCATCGGTGCCTATCACACGCAGAATCTCTTTGTAAGTCCAACTTTAATCGAGCCCCCACGCGTGGCGAGGATTCGGTCAAGGGTCGGTTCATTTTTGTTACCGTTGCCCCGTCCACGGTTTTCGCATCGGAGGGGTTGAGGCGACGTCACTTGCCTCGATGGCTCAAGTGACACGCTTGATGAGCCCGCTAACGGGGATGTTCGAACGGAATCCGGTCCCATCGCTTGTTATAGGGTCGGCAAAGCCCTCAGGTGGCATTCCGTTGCTCCTTAACCCGCCTTCCAACAGATTCCCCCTCAATGGGGATTCTATGTTCTCGGCTAGAGGCTGGATCGAACGAGAAGGTTGAGATGATCCTATCCACCTCTATGCGGGTTGGGCAAAGGCCGCTAAGGCTCATCTGCATTTTCTCCCCTAGCTCTTGTTCGACGTGAGGCGGCCTCGGGCCCTTCGCGGGCCGGACTTCAAACCTCAGTCTCTCGATCTAGGATCGGGTGGCTTGAGCCCCGAGCCCCTTGGGGTCTGATAGGGGTCGGCCGTGTTTCACACATCACCCCGTCCTCGGTTTTTGCAATTGCAGGGGCTAAGCTAACAACACTTGCCTCGATGGCTCGAGTGTTGCGCTCAATGAGCTTGCTAACGGGCATGTTCGAGTCGAATCCGGGTCCGTCATCCACTGACGAGGTCGGTAGAGCCCTCATGTGGCCTTCCACCACTTCTTAACCCGCCTCCCGGTAGATGCTCGAGCCGTTCAATAGGCTTGGGTGTCCCATTGGCCTCTCCTCGACGAAGATTCTGTGGGCTGGGCTCGAGGTTAGAATCGAACGAGAAGGGTCGAGATGTCCCTGTCCGCTTTTGAGCGGGGTCGGGCAGGGCCGCTGGGGCTCATCTCGGTTTTTCTCCCCTAGCTCTGTTTGACAAGAGGCGGCCTCGAGCCCTTCACGGGCCGGCCTTTGAACCTCGATCAGTTGCCGCTCATATTGAATGGGACGACTACTGCTTCATGACGCGATGTGAAGCGTTGAGATGCAGCAATTGCATATGCAACGCTTGGATGTATGGGATGAATGTACGATATCATGGAAACAAAAGCGGGGGTCGGTGATATTACCTTGGTGGCATGAGTGATGGGGAGCTCTTACTAGACATGTCCATGTGGGGCTTGGTTCCGATGTTTGCGATGGGGCCAGTGTAACCTGCATGAGCATCGTAATTTTTTGTTTCTGTCTCTCGGCAACGATCCGAGTCGTTTGATCGACTTGGGCGACCTGATAGCATCTCCTTCAAGCAGATTCCACAGGTAGACCCGTCCGAACCCTTCTTGAGAAGGCAGATGCTAAAGCATGGGGTGCGGGGACAAAGAATTCGATCACGCTGGTGAACAAAAATGCCGTAGCCACTGGGGCGTAGGGTTTAGCGGTTCGACCAGTTTTACTCAAAGTTTACACCTGCACACCATGCCTCTAGTTTTTAAATGTAAGGAGGGGTCGGGCAAAGAGAATGTCTAAATGAGTAGACACTCTCGGCAGCCCCCGAGCGATGTTCGCGCCTCTGCCGTTGTTGGGGTCGAAGGCTCGGTAGTGAAATTGATACGTAAAGTAAGTAAATAAGGGTGCTTATCTTTCGGCGACCGTTTGGGTCCTCAACCCCATCGCTCGGCGTTCACCTAGGCCATCCGATCGACTTAGGAGGCCGTTGGTCTCCCCTTGATGGAGGTTCCATTGTTGGGCCCTTCCAGGTCCTGCCTAGGAAGGCGGAGAGCCACCTACATGCTGTTGTGCCTTGTTTCTCGCGCCCAGCGTGTGGTAGTGGTGGGCCATGCCTATGGCAGAACCTCCTAAATTATAGGGCCCACATGCACCTGTCACTGTCCAACGACCTTTGACATCTATGCATATATTCCCGGTAACTTAAGAAGACTGTCGGGTGTCCTCGGGGAACCCCGAATCATCCACGATTTCCGAGCAGGATCCCATTACAGAGTCATTGCAGTATACAATAGTTTATTCAAATATATACATCAGAGTAAAGATTAGCGAAAGACTTACAATAACATAGTTTACAAACCATTTGTTTCAAACCATACAACTAAGTTCGATAAATAATACAAACCAAAGTAGTGGAGTGGCATTATAACATATTACAGAACATACAAA